CCCTAAAACTTCACGTGATTAATGGATGCCCCCTAAGTGAAGGCCAATAAAAGAAATAAACCGTGTTTATTTGTAATAAATTCTGTTTTCAGCATAATAATTATTAACTTTCTGAAGGAGAAGTTTATGTTTTCGCAAAAAAAATTCAATTCGCTAGTTTTCTCGATTTTTCAAGATCCGATTCAGATGTGACTAAATTTGGAAAAATTATGTTTGTGTGTGTAAACTGTTCGAAAGATTGGAAATCGCGTTCATTAGTTTTTGGTAAACAACGGCCGGACCGTTTCTTTGTAATTAAATGTTGAAATTGTTTGCATTTTTGACGATTCTTATGGAAATTTGTATACATATAAATACCGTAGTCTGATATAATTTACTAAAATATTATAAGCCTACCGGCTGAATTATAAAAATTCATCAAAATTTAGAGTTCTGCCGAGAGTTTGTTCGATTCCAATCAGAATCTATGCCCAATCATATGTACATTCTGGGAGGAAGATACTGATCACAATTTATATCCACATTTAAAATATACATTTTTAGAATACGAATTAGATAAAATAAACTGAGTTGAACAAACTAATTTAATTTATACAATTTCATTTATTATTTATACGTAAGTTTGGAAATTGTGTATCTTTTTCGTAATAGCAATAATTTCATTTTCGAAATAGCATTTTGCCTCTATATAGCTGAATCTCAATTCTTATTAATTAAGTTGATTTTTATATGTATCGGTATATTAAAGCAACTTGCCTTGAAAGCAAAATGCTACTTACAACTAGTTTTTTATAATTTCTACCAATATTATTACCCAAATGTGAATTCCTTAACGCCCCAATATTAACAATACAGTTATAGCATAATTTTTAATTAAATATTTTCATATATTTAATATTGATAGAACTCCCTTGCTAAAATGTTTTAAATTTGAAACAATATTAATGCAATTGCATAGAAATACATACTGAAAACGGTCCGAAAATTAGAGGCAAGGAAACAATGTTTGCACATCAAACTATCATATAGGTATTATTTAATTTAAATAAGAATTGTATTCTATAGTATGATCATTATAAAAAGATATCATTCACTTTATATTTACTATAACAAACAGTTCAAATATTCGCCTCTAAAGTGAAAATAAAAATTTGAAGTAGCCAGGATTTTGGTGAAAGAACCAGACCAAAATAGAATCTTACTAAGATGGCATCAAATTTTTTTGCATACTTTTATCGAATGGGAAGATGACAAAGGTCAATAAAAATTGAAAACAATAAACAAAGCAATAGAAAAAATAATTCGATTCCTTGTAAAATGTATGTAAATATTTGTTCTTAAAGATATGTTTAAGATTAAACGTTATGCTGCATTTTAACTATGTATTTCAAGTTATACGAAAAAGTCGCTTTATTTACTTAGATTTTATATGTGCATGTTGTAGATAAATTAATAAGAATTTTTTAAAATTTTTATCTTACAATTAAAGAACAAAAGTTATGTTAGCTAATTAATTTCAGAAATCATTTTCTGCTTGAATTTAGGCATAATAAGTCGATTCATTCTAGGTTGTCTTGAATATAATGAGGGATAAATACTATAATTTTCAATATTGAATTCAATATTTATGAACACAATAAGGTATAAATATTTGCCTAAAAATAATGCAGAGTAGAAATATAAAATTTGTATTGCATTTTCACATATATATAAATAATAAAAGATGTGCCAATGAATTTTTAATAAAAAAATATTTTTAGTAAAAGTGTACTGTCTTTTCAAATAAAATAGTACACTTACTATCCCTGTCCCTTCCTCTCCTTCGATCAAAAAACGTCCTTTTTAATATTTTGAACCTCAATTTCAACATGTTAATGCTTTGAACAAAATTATTGTTCCTTTTCACCGTATCTTTGCTACATTATACCTTAAGCAATAATATATATATTTTTTTCAATAGCAATCAGAACCTTACGTCCTATGAGCTGTTGGGCTGAAACTTCTCCTACTTCGTATTTTTAGATGGTAACCCAATGGTTAATTCATCCATATTTGATGATTTTTGTTATTAGAATTAATCTAATAGGGCTGACCTTTTATTGGTGCAGCAATGCCGAGCAAGGGCTATTTTCACTTGGAAACATATTGCTATCTATATTTCCAAGTAAAAATCGTTGTCACTGCTGCCTGACAACAGGCTGCTCGAAGTGGGTATCGAATCCGGGACCTCTGAAACAAATCCCGTCGCAAAAGTTAAAAGAAATAGATAAACTAACCTCTGGAAGCGGCTGTGACGATATGAGGACTGGTCTGTGGCGAAATCCTTTTGATATCAGGCCCTGCAGGACCTATAACCGGCAAGCCACCACTTATGGACCTCGGGGAGGCTAATGGAGAAGGGCCGCAGCTACCATCCAAAGATCTAGGCGGTGTAGACACTGTAGTAACACTGTTCATCGCGTGGAGGGCTTCCTCCGAAGAACGCGGAGACGGTGTGGCGGGTGTCATTGTTTCCTGTACTATAGGTATTCTGTACATCACCGGAGCACCGGTCTGTAGACCGTTCAGACCACGTGCTTCGTCCTGAGCCTGGGCCCTCCGAAGCGCCGTTTGCTTTGCCATAACACGTTGCCTGTCGGCTGTCAAGCGACATTTCTCACATTTGCAATACAAATAACGGCAATAGCGTTTGTGACCTTTAAGAGCGATCTTTAATCGGTGATTGCGACAGCGTGCGCAATTCGGTGGTGTCCGCGGCGTGCCGGAACCCGGCTGGCCGCTGGTGATGCTTAAGCGTCGCAATTTGTCTTTCACGTCTTCGTCGGACATCCTTGTCCCCCCGTGGTAATTGATCACGGAAACCATTCACACAGTTTGATGCACTTTAAACATAACACTCGGTCTTTGGAACCAGAAAACTAATTTACAATTCGATTTGATTAATACTGTTTTGCACACACACTGTGACACTGTTGCTGATAGCTGATAACACTATCAACAGAAATTATATGAAGAAAAAAAGTACGATACTAAGTCTTAGTAAATTATAACATTTGACGTTAAACACATGGAAGAGTAGAACACTTAACAATTTGCAAAGCAATGCGACGAGGCGAACGCGTGCACTGCGGGATATAAATAGCGTGCGCGTTGCATCGAGAGTTTAGCGAAACGAACGATCGAGTGACGCCGGCCTGACTGAGTGACTGACTGAATGTTTCGCACAGCAAAACGCAGCGACGAGACCGAGACTGCCTGATATGCCTCCGTTCGTGTGTGTGCGTGACGATTGCATTACACTACTATGCTTCACTCTATGCAACGAACACCACGATGCCTCTCACTCCTCTAATATATTTGGGACTCTGGGGCAGAGCGAACTATGCGCGCTATTGGTCAGGACTTCGAGCGAGTCCTTCCTCATAACGACGTCGCGATTGGACCTATAAATACAACAAAACCCTTTTGTTATCAAACAATACAATTATTGAAGGGATGCTGAGCATCTCCAGCCTCCTTGCATACAATTTTGACACAATTCAAATCATTTTCAAAGTCAGCGAACAATTAAAGCGAACGCATCCAAAATCTGCAAACCATAACAATCTGATATCAACAAATATTTATTTTTAAACTTTAAATATGTATAATAACAATAGACATATTAAGCGATATAAACTACACTTAACCCCACAATCAGAATCGCATTTATAATCAAAGTAGCATTTTGTCTCAAGGCGAGTTGCATAAACTTCCTGATACATATACATAATCAACTTAATAAGAATTGAGATTCAGCTATTTAGGTAAAATGCTCAACTGTTATTTAGAAAATAAAATGTGTGTGTTTTTGGAAAAATAACCAATGCGATTTACAATTTGTTTTTCAAACCTAATATATGTAATTGTATAAATTACATTAATTTGTTTAACACGTATGAAGCGGCACGTTCAGCATTGATTCTGATAAGAATCTCTTAAGCGCATGGAGAAATTCGAAACTTTGATGAATTTTTATAATTCAACCGTTCATCATAGGTCTATGATATTTTAGTATGTTGTTTTACACTTCAAATTCTACGATTATACACATATTCATCAAAATCGTCGGGAAAAATTAACATGTAATTACGAAGAAACGACCCGTCCAGTCTTTACCAAAAACTAATAACCGCGATTCCCAAACAATATATTTCCAACGGTTTTGTAATTTTAAAAATCGATTTAGGAATGTGGGCTAAAACGTGGACGAAAAACATGTCTGCTAATTACAAAATTTGGCTCTCACCAGTGGCGGATTAAGCTTTCTGCCGCCGATATATTTTATCAAAAACCATATAACTCTTCGCATTGTAGTATTTATAGTATTTTTTCAACTAATTCAAAATAAATAATTATTTCTTTCTGAAAGCATCTAATAATTCTTTATGAAGTTCTGAAAACAAAAATTAAAAATAACATTAACGACATATTAAAAAGCAAAGATTATTTTGAAAAAATTTTATTTTAATTTTTTTAATTATCAGTGATGAGCACACATATATTGACACATTTATGCTTATTAATTAACATAATTATTTAAATATTTTAATTTTGATAATTATATGTACATACTTAATTAGGATGCAACTTTTTTCCTCACCACCCATGGGGTAAAGTTGCCAGGCGCGTTTTTTTTAATGTGGTGTCGCCACAGAAATAGATACTTCTATTCATATTTACGTTTCTAACATTTCAGATAGAAATGGATATAGTGTAAATACTACTAAGTATCGATTTGTGCAGCCCTAATCCACTTAAACTAACTTACATACTAATTATACCTAACTGACCCAAATATATCGCGAAAAGAAGAATCCCTGCGAAATGACCTAATGTACCCAAAAATTTCGGTTTTTAAAAATGAAAGAACCTCTCGTGGTAAAGAAAAAATCAATATAAAATGTGTACTTTAGTATTTTAGCGGTGATTGTAAATTCATAAAAAAAGAGCATTTACATGATGTACCCCCCAGATCCACCATGTAAACACTTGGAAAAAAGCTTCATAGGTTCCCAGCCTATGAAGTTTAAGGACAAATGATAATTAATTAATTAATGTAAAGAAGAGCGCGAAAAATATAAGAGAGGTTCTTTCATGACGCCACTCTTTTGAGCTCTGAATAAAAGTACGCGAACAACCCCAAAAAAGGTACGGCCGAAGATTTTAATGTCAAAACGTCCCCTAACCTAATATTAATTAAATACTACTATAATAATAGTAAGTCTTATCTCACATTTAATTTTCCTTTCGATTATGTCACATCATCCAATTCAGTTGTAGGCGGTAGTTCAGGTAGTAGTGGTGCTAGTTGGTTTTGAGTTGATATTTTCTGCCAAATCTCGTGGAAGACCTAAAAAGAGGTAAACAAGAATTTCATTACATTTATTCGTATGGGTTGCAGAAGTAATTGTTGATACCCACTTGTACATATCCTTTAATTCGGTAGTGGTCTCTTGGTGGTTCGTGTATATCTTGGTAAAGCATATAGACATACAATACAATGTTTTCTTTGATACACATCTGAAATGAAAAAAAAGCACAAATGCCCCTAAAAATAGGGACAAACAAATTAACGGGGCCCCGATTATATTAATAGAAGAATATATGGTCATAACTAATAATAAGATCAAATTAACAATAATAGGATAAAAACCTTTAAATATGCATATTCTCCTAGCAGTTATTTGGAAGTCCTTGTGCTTTGTGGTGCGAAAAGCAATCAATTCTGTAACCCTGAAATAAAAAGAAAAAAGATTTATACATATTACTTAGCAGTATGCCAATATTTTTTATGTCTTGATACATCAATTAGTCTGACCAATTTTCTCCTACGGGTTGTGGAAGTAGTTCTTGGTACTCTTGGTAAGCAATTGGTAAGCAATTTTCTTGGAAAGACATCTGAAATGACATAAAAAAACACAAGTGCCCCTAAAAATAGGGACAAACATACAAACGGGGCCCCGGTAACAAAAATAAAAATATTATATACTTATATCTAACCAAGGTCTAATTACTTAATATTAACTTATGAATACGAGAAAACCTGTAGGTATCCATATTGAGGTGAACTGAAAGGGTTAAGGGTACTCTTGTTAGAGTGTAAAGATTGCGATTTGGTATGTTTAGCATCTCACTCCCCAATATGAAGAGTTTACCTTAGCGCCATAATTCGACTCAACAAAACTTGCAGTTACCAGTGGAGATTTTAACTAACTACACAATTAAAACAGAATCTACTTACCAACTTATTGATTGTTACCGAGTTATGTTTACAGATCCGAGAGCTTGACCGCACTTATGTATAGTGATGCATTAAGCCTAAATTCGAATGTACTAACGATGGGCTAATGATAAAGCTAGAAATGATTAAAAATGTATAGAACGGCGTAATTACGCAGATGAAAGCTTAAAATCGGAAAACTCGATCGGATTTTTCTAGATCGTGTTCTTTTTCCCTGGCACAACATCACAACCATCACTAATGCACTAACTTTAGTCCTCCGTATTGGATTGACCACCTGAGAGGACTGATACTAAAAAACGATCGCGACTCCGGACCTCATACGATAGGAGCCTTATAGGCAGGTGGGGATTTAGTTTAGGAGTTTAGAAACTCCTTGGAAATGATGTATGTAGTCTTTATCGCGAATCTGGACCACATACGACAGGAACCATATAGGCGGGCGGCGGATGTAGTTTGCACTAAAGGTTGTGCAACCCTTTGGAAACATTGCATGCTGTCGTTACAAAGACGCAATCACTCTTTAAGTATCAGTCCTCTGAGGTAGTCAATCGAGTCGGAAGTACACAATTAGTGTATTGTGGTGCGTGTGTTGTTCCATGGGCGAAGAACACACAATCCAGAAGAAGTGAGGGTTCTCCGATTGTATGCGATTCTCTTTGTCATCACGCCGTATCATACACATCTATAATTTCAAGCTTTTGATCAACCAAAACAATAGTATATCAGAATTTAGACTTAAGACATGACTACAAAAATACAGTCATATCTTGGCACCTACGACGAACACAACTAGGTAACATTAAATAAGTTAATAAGTATAGATTCTGTTTCATTCGTGTAGTTAGTTACGCACTCTACAGATAATTACCGGTTTTTATTAAAAGTCAGATTGGGGCGCCAAGGTAAACCCTGTATATTGGTAAAGGCAATGCTAAGATGTACCAAGTAGCAGTCATTGCACCCCAAAAAGGGTACCTTCAACCTTTTTAATCCACCACAATCTCCTAGCAATCCTGGTTCTTGCCGTCGCGGTGAGAAATTAATTCTGCAATTCTGAAATGATAATTGACTTGAAAGAAATGATAAAGAAATGATAGTATAAATACTATGTGGTAGCCTACTCGTATTTATTCCAGTGCTCTGGTACATCATATCGGTACACATGTTCTCCTGTTCGTCGTAGTACTCAACCCCATGGTACCTTTAGTCGAGGCCCATTCACACTAAAATAAATGTCAATCTTGTTATTTTTTTACATAATTTAGGGTTTTGTACCTTTTTTTTAACTTCAAACAGTACGTCTTCAACATTTCTCCGTTTAGGAGACTTATTGCGCAATCACAAAAAATTTAAATTATTTAATTAAAAAATATGCATAGAAAAATCATTCAAAATAAAAACAAGTAATTTATTTAACAATATTTTTAGATTTTTGAACGAGTTATTTACATCCATGCTACTAATAAAATAATTCCAAAAAATTAAACATTGTACATATATTACTAATTAGAAATTTAAGTGTATGGGGTTGCGCTGCTTCTGG